ATATATATATATATATATATATATATATATATATATATATAACGCGATTAAATGAAATATCTTTAAAACTTTGAACAACTAAGAAAAAATTTTTTAATTATTGATATCGAAAAAACATTTTAATGAAACAACAATTATTCTATATTAGCAATTCTTTTACCCTGTCTAATTCAAAAGCAACCTATTGATATGAAATTTATTTAAATATTGGAATATCATTTGAGTTTTGTGATCACATATAGGAACCAAGAGAATAAAATATCTCTTATAATTTACATTTAATAAAATATGTTTCTTCCATCCAATTTTAAAAATTCCTCTAAAAAAGAAAATAAATTTTATTAAAATACAATTGCAAAAAGAAATATTACAATCAATAATACTCATTGATATTAGAAAATTTAAAAAATTACCTCAACAAAATCATCTGTTCTCCTAACATTGGCAGGATAATAATCAACAATTAAAGGGCGCGGTCTTTGACCAATACCAGATGGCTGTTGTAATCCACATGCCTGTTCCTCATTTGTAATTACACTCACTAAGGTACTCACTACTTTTTCATCGAGTTGCGACATAGCTTTATTCGGCGTTTTCATACGTCTCAAAAATAAAGCATTCCATTTTTGCCTTAAATGTAAAAAAAATCTGGCAGTTTCTGGATCAAGTTTAAATACTACCCAATCATCAAGTTTAAAGATCGTTCCTTCATTACTTTCATCAACTTCGGAATCTGATTCACTTTCTGGTACAGCTGTAAACAAAAAATTATAACATTAAAATATTGAAATAATGTTAAAATATATAATATATTAAATAGCTCACAAAACACTCACATTCAGCTTCATAAATAACATCTACGGATAATCTTGCTGGTCCACAAAACAAGGCTACTGTTAATGGATTTACCAAAGTAACCATTTTAACATGACAAAATCGTCCTGTACGACTCATTTCTTCATAAAGTAACCAATCACAAGGTAAAGCTTCTACATTAGCTGCATATGTTTGAGTAGATGTCATTCTTGGTGATTTAGGATAATCTCTTAAAGTTGATGATGGATGAAAAAATACTTTTACTTCTTTCCTACAAAATTAATCATTAAACATATGAATAAGTACTATATTACATCAAAATCTTATATAAAAAAAATTTAAAAAGCAACACACTGTGTTCTTAATTGCAAGTGTTCTCTGTCTACTCTTATTAAATTTGGATATAAACCAGCAGTTAAAGCTGCTTTCACAACTGCCCAATTTTCAGAATTAGAATTTAAATCTCTAATATCTCCTGGACCCCTTGCTCTAACAAATCCAGATGCACGAAGCTGACCAAGAAGTTGAGTACGCATTCCAACCACCATTTCCATAACAGCAGCAGAAATAAAATTTTGTTCACAAAATATGCGTTCTTTTCCACCTGCGCGTGCATTTTGCCAACCTTGAAAAGCACGTAAAACTGCCATATGATCAGAATATGTATTGGTTGCAAATCTCTTACGAGCAGCGGTTGCAGCTCGTTTTTGTGATGGTTGAAACGGTAATACAAATGGATCTCTGGAAATTATTTTTCGAAATAATATTTTTTTTTATTACATACATACAAAAAATTATAAACTTTTACTTACTTGTATGCTAAACTACATACAATTGTTAAGACTGGATCTAAACATTTCAAAACAACAGCATACAATAACATTTTTCCAAGTCGTGGTTCAATTGGCAAATCAAGTAAATGACTTCCCAATTCAGTAAGGTCTTCCCACGGATCTAATGCATCAATAGTTTTTAATAATTGAACTGCATTTCTTGTTACTACATTAGAAGGTGGTTCCAATGCTCGATCTAAAAATTCTGCAATAGGTGTATTTCCTGCAGCTAAATGTTTCGTATATAAACATAATTCTTGTAGTGGTGATCTTAAAATTTCAGGAGTTTGATAAGGCTCCATACTATTATATCGAACTGACGAAAATAAACGATAACAAATGCCTTTTCTACATCTTCCAGCTCTACCTTTACGTTGTTTTGCACAAGCTTGAGAAATCCAATTAGATTTAAGTGTACATACTCCTGATAATGCATCAAATGATTTTTCTTTGACTTTTCCTGAATCAATAACATATACTACATCATCAATTGTAATACTTGTTTCAGCTATATTTGTTGAAAGAATAATTTTTCGAGTTCCTACAGGACTTGGTTTAAACACTTTTTTTTGATCACATGTTTGCATATTTGAATGAAGTACATATAAATTATAGCGTAAACCCTTATTCATTTCTTTTTCTTCATTATTTATTTTTTCCCTCATAGTTACAATATCATCATATCCTGGCAAAAATACTAAAAGGGAACCAGGAGGCATCTTTAAATGAATGTGCAAAATTAAATGTAAAAGAAGATCATAATTAATTTTATCATCATTAAATGTATGTTGATATACATCTAATAAAAATTTATCTTCTTCTGGAAGTGAAATATCTTTAGCATGTGTTTTTGTTTCATCCTGTACTGTACAATCATAAGTTTTCATATATGCTTCTATTAACTCAGCACATTCAGTTTGATTCATATTTTTTGCCCAATCTAATGCAGTCCATTCATTGGCTGCTCGTAAATTTAAATTTGCACCTAAATTTAAAAGTTGTTCAGTAGTATTTATACATCCTTTACCCGCAGCTACCATAAGCGGAGTTACAAGTGTTGTGGAATGTTGATAATCTACTGAGACATTTTCGGAAAGTATGAAATATAAAAGTTGTGCAAAATTATCTTCGCCTCCACGTAACCATGCGTCCGAAATGCTTTTATCCATTTCTTCTGCTAACCATGGTTCTAATTTTACTTTTTCTGGAACTGGTTCATTTTGCTGTGCTAATATTGGTGCAGGTAATATGCATCTTTCGTTCATAGCATTTGATCCTGATTGTTGAGGTTTATATTGAGTCCAGGTTTCTAAAATTTGATGTTGATCTTTTTTATTCATAAACTCTTTTCTCTTTGAAAGCATTTCTTTTGTCATATAACCTGTCATTTTTAAGATATCTTCAAGAAAATACGTGTCGACATCATATGATCTACCCAAGACA